CCATAATAGCATTGGGTCTTCTGTTTAACTGGCAATGTCAGAAATTATTGACCTGAGTCCCCCACAGCTCAACATAACAGCATGGCTTTATTTTCTATATTTCATCTTGTTTTTTTTTTAAATAAAAACATAAGAGGGGGTATAATAAATCTGGAAAATCATGTGTGTCATATGCAAACAATAATCAGTAAATCCTGTGTATCAAGGACACAGTGGACTAGAAAATAGTGGCGCTGCCTAGAAAATCTCAGTGTGGGAGACGAGCTAATTGGTTGTTTTCATGGATAAGCAAATGGGGGGCTGCCTTGGGATTAATCAGTACTGATGGAGACTATCAAAGCAAAATGTGCAGAAGGGGTTGTCAGGGACCACCTTCAAGCCCTCCATGTAGGAGAAAGCTGGCATGAACTTGTCTTACTTCTTGTCCAAAAATGCCACCTAGAGAGAGGAACAACAGGGTGTCACCCAGTGCTAATGGCTGAGGATTAAGAAACCACACAGAATAGGATAGCAATGATTTTTCTTCCTCAAGAGACCACAGAAAGGCAGATACCCAGCTAGAGAAGTGACAGAGCACCAACAACCCACAAAGGGCACATAAGAAAGTTTTTCTTCTATTTTCACTGCCTGAGAATACCGACCACGATGAGGTTAGACATTGAGAAGGAACTTTCCAGTGGGGCATAGTGTCTCACACATTTAATCTCAGCACTCTGAGGGCTGAGACAGGAGGATGCCATGAGCCTGACCCTGGGATTAGCAAATGTCATGATTAAAAATCAACAGAGAAAAGGTTCCCTGACTTCCCCACCATCTTTCCAAACAATAGCTGACTTGCCTGAGTTACAGGTGGCAAATTGCCTCCTATTTACTTGACAGTGGGCTGGGGATATAGTTCAGCAGCAGAAACAACTGCCTGGAAAGCACAAGGTCCTGAGTTTGATGCCTGGCACCAAGAAAAAAAATAACTATTTACTTGACAGAAAGTTCTTAAGAGAAAAAAGAATGAGCAGTTTCAACTATCCATTTATTTATTTTATCTCTGAACATTTTCTGGCGTCAAAGTCATGCCATATTATTCCATGACATGGATTTTTAGGTGTTTTGCATTTTGCTTTGTTGTTGTTGTTTTGTTTTGTTTTGTTTGGGGGCCTTCTCTGGCTCTGAACTACATATTCAACAGGACCTGTGGGATCTGTGCCAGGTCTGACCTTTGTGCACGATGACCATGCACACTTGTGCACAATTCCCATGCATACCTGTGCACAATGCCCATGCACACCTGTGCACAGTGCCCATGCACACAGAGCTGGACGCAGCATGCCTGAGGAGGCTAAAACATTAGTCTGTCCCTTCATGCCTCCCTAGAGCCTACTCTGTGCTTTGGAGATGCAGAGTATCATGTTGATGAGCACGCCGGCTACCAGGAGGTGTGGGTCTGGAGAAGAGGTACCAATCTTTCCCAAGCATCATCCGTCACTGTGCACTCAAGGAAAGCAGAATGGACTCCAGGAGAAGGTGAGGAGGGCATAGAAAGGACCTATCATTATCTGAATACACATAAAATGGGTCTAGTCTGTCCAGTGCAAGCATGCCTAGTCTTTGCAGGCTCCAGTTTTAAGTTTCTCCTACCTGAGCACTTAGATGCTTTGAATTTTGCCCTAGTCAGCATTTCCATTTCTGGGATAAAAGTACTGGACAGTCCAACTAAAAGGAGGAAAGGATTAGTTTGGCTCACATTTTGGAGGTCTCAGTCCATGGTCCACAGCCTCCAGGGCAGGAACATCATGGCAGAATCTGTGATGGAACAAAGCTTCTGAGTTCATGACAGCTGGGATATAAAGCAGAGAAGAGGGCTGGGGAGGTAGCTCAGTAGAATAAGCACATGCGTGGCAAGCTCAGGATCCTGAGTTCAATCCCTGGTACCACCAAAAGAATAATAATAAAGCAGAGAAAGAAAAGCCAGAGAAAGGGGTCAGGGATAAGGCACAGTCCCCAAAGTCACACCTCATGCCCAACCCAGACACACTCAGAAGCATGCTCTACTAACCACCTAGGCATCCCTCAAACCAATCAAGATGACAAGATTAATGGTGAGCTATATCTAACAAATTATGCTGTGTAGAAAATAAATAGAATATTCACATAATAGCCTTTGTAATTCAACCACGACTAACTTGATAGTCACAGGCTCAGATTAACTATCCAGTGTTCAGAATATTTGTAGATTCTGTCACTGCTCATAAATAATATGGCAGATGAAGGAATCCCACAATGTCTGGGTAATTCCAACACCTAGAGAAATCCACTTGTGTCTTAGACTTTTGAAGGGAAGGAGGCTTTCACTTCTTTTTTTAAATTTTATTGAGAAACAAATAGCAATAAGACAGTTTCAAAAAACTGATTAATAGGACAGTTTCAATAATTAATACATTGTTATCTTCTTAGTGGTTATCCATAGTACAAGATGCAGACAAGATATTCTGTCCAAACACTATTAGTACAAATCTTTCTTCTCATTGAATTAAGAGAAAGTAGCTGTATATCTATCCTAACTATTCGGCATATACAGATACAAAATGGTCCTTCCTTTGTATCCCTTTTTTTTGTTTAGTCTTGTCAGTGATGGGTATTCCATTGTTATCTGCATACTATAGGTGTGTGAATTCAGCAAAACAATCCAACACAGTCTGGCAGTCCACAATAGTAGTGGGTTATTCACAGAGGTTGTTGACTGGAGCCTTTTACAGCTCAGCATATTAATATGGTTTTACTTTATATACCTTGTTTTTATACTTTTCTGCTGGATGGTTAAGACCAAGATAAAGCAAGACCTATATAACAAGAAATGCTTTCACTTCTGACTCTTGGGCATTCTCTTTGTCCTGCAGTGTTACATCCTCCTGTCGCACTCATCTTGTGTTTCCTGGTAGAGTGGGAAAGTCTAGTTGCCAGTGAGGTTGATGCTTCTAAATACTACTTCTTTAATACCATATCTTTTCCACCTTGCTAGCTGTTTTACCAGAAAAGTAAAAATACACCTAGGACCCAACAGCAAGAGAGGGACCTCTCCACCTGCATTGAGACTTACATTTTCTCATTTTCTGCTTGGGTCTTTTGGTCTCCTGAGATGTACAGCCAGATTAGCTCAGATCCAAAACTAGGGATATTTAATTCCTATATTAAAATCCAACAATCTAAAACATTTATTTCTCAAAATGTGACTCCAGTCTCATCATGTATCTTGAGTGGGTTAAAATAATAAAAATAGACATTTTGTTCACACATGGAAGAACTGGCATGCTATAGCATTTCAGTCAGCATATTATGGGATATTGCACATGAAACCATTAATAATTCTTACTAGTTTTTGTTTTCTTCTTTTTTTAGTTTTCAGAAAGGGTCATTTCTCATCCTATTATGTATCCACAGAAAACATAGAATAGATCGTTTGGTTCACTGGACTGTTCTTTGTATTTGGAAAGAGAAATTTAAATTCCTTTGAATAACTTGCTGTACAACATTGATGGCAACATGTCCACTCTCAGGTAGGAATGGGCATGTAGAAATATTATTGACACTTGGAGAATGGATTCACAGATTTAATCAGGAGTGAAGAAGAGAGGACAATTTAAATTTTATAATGTATAGAACCTAGTAAATATATAACATCTGCTTAGATTGCTTAACAATCATTTTGTATTTTAATTTATTATAATTTTCTACAATAATAATTATAACTTCTAGGTACTCAGTGCCTGTTCTTTGCCACAAACTTTGTTTGCAACATCACTAGATTATCTATAATCTTTGTGATGACCTAATACTATAGGCTAGAATCAATCCATCCTACAGCTGAAGAAATAGAGATTCAATAAAGTCACACAATTTGTGCAAACAAGCAATAGAGCAAGATTTGAACCAAAGTGTATTAAATACAAAATTCTGTGCATTGTTCTCCTGCCTTAGCAAGTTTTACCATAACTTCAATTTATTTTCAATTGATTCCATTATGTGATGACTTTTAAAAATATTTTTAAACAATTTCACACTCAGAGAAAAATCAATAAGTATGGTGAAGCACTTTTTCATCTTCCAATAAGAGGAAATGGCACAAGTTCAGTAGCACAGGAGGATACAAAGTCAATACCCAAAATGCAATAGCATTCCTCTACACAGATAACAAGCACACTGAGAGGGAAATTACAGAGACAATACATTTTTACAATAGCACCCTGGATAAAGAAATACCTTGGAATTAATCTAACTAATGAAGAAAAAAAGATCTATTCAATGAAAATCACAGTACTTTGAAAAAAAGAGATCATAGAGGATTTCAGAAAATGGAAAGATATTCCCCGCTCCTGGATAGGAAGAACAAACATTGTGAAGATGGCCATACTCTCAAAATTGCTGAACAGATTTAATGCAGTCCTTATTAAACTACCACCAACATACCTCACAGACCTAGAGAAATCATTCCTACAATTTATTTGGAACCAGAAAAGACCTAGAATATCAAAGGCAATCCTGGTCAACAAAGACAAGACAGGAAACATTACAACTCCTGACTTGAAATTATACTATAAAGCTACTGTGATAAAATCAGCATGGTATTGGCAACAAAATAGACCTAAGGATCAACAGAATAGATTAGAAGAAGCAGAGGCCTCTACAAACACACTCAGCCAAGTGACCTTTGAGAAAGGGGCCAAACATGCTTAGTGGATGAAAGATAGCCCCTTTAACAAATGGTACTGGAAAAACCGGCTCTCTACAAGCCAAAAACTAAAACTTGACCCAGGTCTATCATCATGCACTGAACTAAAGTCAAAATGGATTAAAGATCTGAACATTAAAGCAGAGACACTAAATCTCTTAGAAGAGAAAGCAGGAGAAACTCTTGAAGACATAGGGGTAGGCAAAGAGTTCATGAGCAAAAAATCAAATTGTATGAGTAATACTTGAAAGAATTAAAACCTGGGACCTACTCTTACTGAGAAGTTTTTGCACGTCAAAAAAATTACCAACAAAGTGAAAAAACAACACACAAATTTCAAAAAAATCTTAACTAATTAACACTTAATCAGAAGTCTGCTCTCTAGAATTTATAAAGAACTAAAAAGCATTAGGGGTAGATGACTCGGTAGAGTAAGCGCTTCCCTGGCAAGCACAAGAACCTGAGTTCAAGCCCCGGTTCCGCCAGGAAAAAAAAAATTAGGGCCCCCCAAATTTAAAGACTCAGTCCAGAAATGGGCATCTGAGATGAACACACACTTCTTAGAGGATGAAATTATAGAGTAAATATATAAAAAAATGCTCCACATCACTAGCCATCCATGAAATGCAAATTAAAACAACACTGAGATACCATCTCACACCAGAAAGATGGCTATCATAAAGAAATCAACCAACAACAAATAATGGAGAGGTTGTGAGGAAAAGGGAGCCCATCTCCACTGCTGGTGGGAATGTAGACTGGTGCAACCATTATGGAAATCAGTGTGGAAACTCCTTAAAAACTAGGACTGGAAATCCCATTCAAACCAGCTATCACCCTACTGGGAGTTTTCCCAGAGGAAATGAAAACATCACTTCATAGTGATATATGTGCACCTTAGTTTATAGCAGCACAATTTGTGATAGCCAAATCCTGGAAACAACCAAGATGTTCATCACCTGAAGAATGGATGAAAAACATGTGGTACTTTTATACAATGGAGTATTACTCAGCTAAAAAGAATGATAAACTCAAAGACTTTATATTTAAGTGGATGCCACTTGAAGATACACTCATAGGTGAAATAAAACAGACCCACATGTGTAAATATCATATAATCTCCCTAGTGTAAGAAGTCAACAGAAGAAATAAAACCATAAAGGTGTAACACAATTAAAATGAAAGGGAGAACTTAATGATTAAACAATGAAGACAGGGCAAGGAGAAAAGCTAGGCAACATGACAGAGCAAAGCCATACATTTATATGCCAAAGATGGTTAAGGTATTGATCCTGAGAATCTTCAGCAGGTTTTTGAAACTAGAAGTTAATTGGTAGGATTCTAACCCTCACTAACTATATATGCTGATACCTGTGAACTAAGCAACTGCACTGAAGATAACAATGTGTAATACTTGGGTAATGCCTGGAACGCCCATCATTCTGGTTTTCTAATTATGTACGGATATTGTTTGTCAAGTAAACATTTCTTTAAAAAAAAGGTGAGTTAATAAATGAAAATAAAAGACAAGAAAATATGTCATAGGACTGTCTTGCTACAATGCTGTATATGATTAGATTTCTAAATTTCTGTGTAAAAATATGTAATTGTTTATTCCTATTTTTCAAAATACTTTTTTAACTTTTTATTTTCTTTCACATTCTGTAGGGACTTAAAGGTTAACATATCAATACTTGATGGAAGATATCTGTTCCATGCTGTGTCTAAGATGTTCGATGTTCATAGAGATAGTGAGGGTAAGTTCAACTGCCTATGTTATAGGGTAATAATATCATTCAGTTTCTCTTCTGGAGGGTTAACAACTTAAGTTTGCAGACCAAAAATTGGAGAAAAAGAAGGGCTGCAAGGACAGCCAACATTTTGGCCCAAGCCTACCCAAGTCAATGAGGACTCAGGACATAAGAGAACCTATACCGTAACATCCTGTAACTCAGTTGTGTCCCAAATTTACTGATCAAGGAGATTATGGGGCCACAGAGGTAAGTGATCGATGATGTAGAGTGTGCCTAAGGCTGATCACATGGAGAGAAAATATTCTCTCAGGCTTTTACAGAGAGCAAATTTGTCAAGCAATGTGTCTTAGTTACTCTTCTCTTGTTGCTGGGACAAATACACGACACTCAACATGAAGGAGGGAAAGGTTGTTTACCTCACAGTTACTGGAGGTTTCAGTCCACACTCAGCTGGCTCCAAGGCAGAGTGGCACAGGGCAGAGGGCAACCTTTCATGGCAGCAGCAAAGAGCAAGAATTCAAGGGAAGGGTAGCAGCTCAAGCAGCTAGCTTCTCTTCCCCCCTTACATTGTAATGCAAATTTCCTGCCCCAAGGGCAGGTGTAGCATCCATACCCACAGTAATCAATCACAAACTCCAGAGGCTGCCCCAAGACTGTGTGAGGCTTTGGGGGGACACTATACAGAAACCATAACACAATGTCTGTGACTCATCCACATGGCTGACACTGGCAGAAGATCCACAAACTGCGGTAAAGGGATTCAGGACAAATCCTGAGGGGATTTGACTAACCTTGTCAGATACAAAAGTTACTTTTCTTGTTATATAGGTCTTGCTTTATCTTAGCCTTCAACATCCAGCAGAAAACTATAAAAACAAGATATAAAAAGTAAAGCCATATTAATATGCTGAGCTGTAAAAGGCTCAAGTTAACAACTTCTGACATTGCCAGTCCTACGGATAACCTACTACTATTATGGACTACTGGACTATATTGGATTATTTTGCTGAATTCACACACCTACAAAATTTAAATGGCAATGGAATACCCATATCTGACAAAACTAAACAAAAGAAGGGGAAACAAATGAAGGACCCTTTTGTATCTGCATATACAAAATAGGATAGACATACAGATACTTTCTCTTAATTCAATGAAAAGAAAGACTTGTAGTAATAGTGTTCGTGGACAGGATATCATGTCTGCATCTTGTACTATGTATAACCACTATGAAGACAGCTATACGCAATGTATTAATTATCGAAACTGTCCTACTAAGTGGGTTTGAAACTGTCTCATTGCTATTTGTTTCTCAATAAAATTAGTTTTAAAAAAGGAAGGCTTAATGGTTAAAATTATCTTTGTGTAGAATTTGTATTACATAACTACTTTTTATTTGATTTAAATAAATGTTTTGAAAATATAAAACTAAAAGAAAAAAGAGGAAATTGCCACTAAATTTAGAATCATTGCTCTGAGAACTTAGAGAGCAGTTTCTACAAAAATTTCAGACTACACAACATGAGCATAGATCAGTGAACTAACTTCATGCATTTCAGGAATCTAACTCTCAGCCTTTAACTTCCACCATTATACTCAATTCATTCTTCAGAACAAATGAATCCAGTCCAGAGTCATGTAAGATATTTAGTACCTTAGTACCTGTGCCTGACTTCATTCTTAACAACTACAGTGGTTCCCTTGTCTTTTCTTAGCTTTCATCTTGATGTTTTGAAAGATCACAATCCCTATTTTGTAGCATATAGAATGTCCCCTCAATTTGAGTTTATCCATTGACTTCCTCATTATTGGATTCAGCTTAATGTATTTTAGAAGGCCATAAATGATTCTGTGCTCCTGCTACATCCTACCAAATGGCACATAATTTCAATCTATCTCATTATTGGAGTGGTAGTAAGTTTGACCATGTGGATAATATGATATTTGCCATTATAAAGTTATTTCTTTTTTCTTTGTAATTAGTAAGAATTTATAGAGAAGTATTTTGAGGCCATGTAAGTATTGGGTTCCTCAAATTATTTCTACATGTATACCCCTTGGCAATTTTTGTTTTCTTCCACTGGTTCATCATTGTCGCCTTTGATGACTTTTCAAGTAAGTAGCAAAGAAATTATATGATCAGATGTTCCAAGCTGCAAAAATGATTAATAGCCAAGATAATGATTAAAAAACCTGCATGGCTATATAAAATCAAGCAGAATATTGTAATATTAAACCAGAAGCCTGGCATGTTAATGAGTGGCACCTAACTGAAGTCAAGTTCATTAGAGTTAGCCTCAAATTTAATGATAAAAACAAATCCTTTCACTTGAAACTTAAGCAGCCTTGAGAGACCAAATAGATGTGATCTTTTAAAAAAATTTTCATTAATTTTAATGAGAAAGAAGTAGCAATAAGAGTTTCAAAACAGGTTCGTAGAACAGTTATAAAAAACATTGCATATTGTCTTCATAGTAGTTATTCAGAGTACAAGATGCAGACATGACATCTTGTCTAAATAATATTACTACAAATCTTTCTTCTCATTGAGCTAAGAGAAAGTAGCTGTATATCTATCCTAACTATTTTTTATATACATATCCAGTGTGAATTTTAAACTGGAGTTCTGTGTTTCTCTCTGTATGGGAACAATTTTTGGAAAGCCTGGTTTCCCAAAGGGCCTGGAGCTTTGCTGGCTTTTCTCCATTAACAACTCATTCATAGATACACAAATCATACACCTGAAAGAATCAACTGTACTTAGAAAACCAAGGCTTTATGCTGTACTCACGCATTAGTGTCCATATGAATAAAGGAGAGAAAAAGAAGCCTTCTAAAGGTGGCTTGTGGGTTAGTTCAGTTGTTTAAGCACCTGATTGGGCAAACCCAGGCAGGCACAGGGGACCATAGTTCAATTCCCAGCTCCACATGCATTACCAGACTGTGGCTACAGCCATGAGATTAGCAACAACATGGCTTTGGGAGAACAAAAGAATCCCCCTTTCTAGGCTTGAGCTCACAAAATACAAATTATTCTGACAGTTCTGAGTACAAAAGAGGATAAATTCACCCATTTTTCTCTGGGAAAAAAGTTACAATAAGTCCAAGTCTCATTAGTGTATTTTCACTCCCTGTTAGCTGAAATAGATTATGTTGGTGTCAGCCAAAGTCTGTACTTTGCCCCTGGAGCACACATGCAGACATTCCAAGTGACAATCCTTGAAGACCAGGAGCAGCCCATCCTGGAGGGTTCAGAGAGGTTTGAATTGCTTCTCTGGGAACCTAGAAGTGCAGTTCTTGGAGAACCAAGTAGAACCACTGACATCATCAATGACGCCATCACTGACTGAAAGGGGAGTGCTTATAGTTCCTTGGAGTGAAAGACTTAAAAGAGAAACAATAGCCAAAACATATCTCCTAACTCTACATTTTTAGAACTCAGTAACTCTGGGAAGACAATGAAAGTGTGTTGTCATTGGTGTTATATTCTGATGATATGTACAAATGTTATTTGTGTAGTTGCATGGATATAGAAATATACATATGTATAATGAGAGGATTGAGCCTATAAAAACAGGAAACATGCTCATATTGCCCTTTTTCTCTGCTCTTTTACTTTGTTTCTAAGGCCAGTGAAACCCACTTTTATTAATTAAATCAATAGCTGAAAACAAAAATGACTGATGAGTCTTCATTGACTGGTGGTAGACATGAAGCTTCTTACGCATAAACATGAGCACACAGAAGAGAGTCAATTCTGTTTTGTTCTGGGAGTCATTTAATGAGAGTGCCCTGACTGAAATTTGCAGAAAGGCACAAGCTCCATCTTGCCAGTTGTTCAATTTCCCTCCACAAGACTTCCCCCACCTTTTTTGCACCTTTTTGTAAAAAGCCTAATAAACAGTAAATTGATGAATTGATAAAAGGTGAAAGAAAGAAGCAAAGATTTGCATAGTTTCCAAAGTGCCCAATTAGTCTTTAACTGTTTTTTTGATGCACAATGTTTATACCTATTTGTATCATGTAAATATCACTAATGTCACATAAATTGAGGCTTACAAATTATAAGACACATCTCTACGTCCCATCATTATCTTTTAGCTATTTCTTGTGCATGCCTTCATTAAATTTGTGCCTCAGTTATGACTTAACACATTTGCAAGCCAACACAGAACTTAACAGAAATCATTTCAAAAATTTTTGCCCAAAAATAATGAGGATGGGATAAGAAGACTCCTGCCAGAGGTGACCTGCATAGTTAGGTTTAGAAACTCTTGTCTTCTACCAGTCAGTGCTTTGCTTCCCTGCTAGATTTCAGTTTTCCCAAACAGAGAAAAGATTTTTCTAATTTACCTCATAATATGTAACTTTGCTTATTCCTTTGAAAAATGAGAAAGTTGGGGTCAGCTTGTAAGATCCCTTCCAGTTCTAATTCCTGTATGAGGCCATATTCACATATTCACCTTGTAATGTGCCCCATTGCCAGGATCAAAAAACCTCTTAAAACTCAATTAAATCCAACAAAATTTTATTTGGGCTTTTCAGACAGGTCTTCAAGACTCAGATCCTATAAAAAATGTTTGAAAAGGGTATTCACAAGTGAGGCTAACTCTCAGCTCTACCCAACAGGCCTCCTATACACCAGGAGTCAGTCTGTCATAGATCTCCTGCTGAGTACCATGGGGACAGTCACACTGTTAGCTACAAGGGAGGAACCACAAAGGATTCTGTTCTGAGTTTGGTGATCCCACTGTGAGTGTCTTTCATAAAGTCACTCTCATTCTCTCACACTGTATTTTTGCTAAAGGGCCTGCCTTTAGAAGAACAAGGTGTTTAAATATTTATCTTGTTTTCCTGGGAACACTGCAAACAGTGCTTTCTGTTCAATCTGTTCCATCTACATTTTCCTCCTAGTAATACAAGCTTAAGAAAATGATGGTCTCTAGGCTTCAAGACCAACTGTATTCTAAATATAACCTGTAGTGTATTCGATAGCTGTGTAATGAAATTGATCTAGTGGTCTGAAAAAGTGAAAATATTCCTGATTTCCTGCCCAGAATAGAATCATACACTTTGGAAAACTGGCTTCATTTGCCATTCTTTATGTACTCTCTCTTTTTGCTACAAGTTTTATAGAAAATTAAAAATACTAATGCTTCAGTCTTCTACTGAGCTGGAAAGCTTAACAGAGATGCATAAGATGCCCCAAGATATTGCTGCTACTGAACAAACTCTAAATGGAAAGGTGGTGTATATTTTGTCCCAGTACCCAGGGGGCAACTAAGGAGTCCATTTACATGTGAATGAGAATGACAAGCAGCTACAGACAGCGATTTACCTGAGCAAAGAGGGCAGCGGTAGCTTGTCAGCATAGTTCTTCTGCCCAAAGCTCAGCTCACAGTTATGAACTATGAGAAGCCTCCAAATCCTGATGACCGCACAACTGATTGCCATATGAGGCTTCTAAACCTTGCTTGGCACTAACAAGGATGTTGGAATGTTGCTCCCTCTCATCTTGTTTATTATGACCAGCAGGAACCTAAGTGCGCAACTTTCACCAAATGTACTATCCCTTAAAAAAAAACAACAGTATGAATTCTAACTGGTCAGCGATGATGTAGCTATCGCAACCCTACAAGTAAATGCCTGGAAAAGCTGATAAATTTCTGGTAAGAGAAATTAGATTTTGTGTAATTTACTTCCAAATTTACTGTGTACTTATGTTGGTAAATATGTGTTCAATAGCACATGATTGCAATTTATGCAATTAAAAAATTAATTAGGTTATAATGACATCACTCTGCTCTATAATCACAGCTGTCACAGCAAATCAGAGAGTCCTCAGGAACATTACTCTTTTTTTTTTTTATAGGGTCTCACTATGTAGTTCAGACTCGTAGTGATTCTCCTGTCTCAGCCTCCCCAGTTTTGGGATTACAGGTGCACCACCAGACTCGGTTTCAGGGGCTGGCACCCTGCACCCACAGTTTGGGGGCCAGCATGGCATGTGGAACCAGGGATCGAACATGGCAACTACATGCCCCAAATTTTTTGTATTATATTCTTTACACTGACATATCTCAGCAAACTATAACTTCTGAAATTGAGGCCCTGAATTTTTCTTAAATATTTTACATTTTCATTTTCCAACTTGTGCCCTATTTAAACTGCTTACTTAAGAATATAAACATATAGGGCACAGAAAGTGCTCAGCCTGCAGTCAGAATTATCAACTATGCTTAAAAGCCTTAAATGAAAAACCTTTTAATGTCTCAGATGATCTGAATTTTGCAGTGAACGCTGTAATTTTTAGAACTGAGATTTTAATCGCCTGATTTTGAGAGAAAAAAAATAATAGGAGGACTCTTACTTATTTTCCAATAAAGTAGCTGCTGCACTTTCCAAGTTTTGCATGCCCACACAGTGAAATGCTGTCTTCTCTGACTAGTTAAAAAGTGCCAACCAAACCATCCAAACTTTATGTCTTAAAGAGGAACTACAAAGAAAAGAACACGAACGCTGATGAAACAAACTATAGTTTTAACTGGTTTATAATCTATTTAAAGAGCACATCTGACACATTTTTAAAATCAGCCTATTTTTTCTCCCAGAAGCTCTGTGCGCTATGTCACCCAGTGAACAGATTCGGGGGCGGAGGGCTTGGAGTAGCAGCGACCCCTGAAAACTGCTCACCCCCAACTACCTATAAATTTAGACCTATGAGGCGCTAGTGACCTGCCACAAACGTGCAGAAAAGTGTTATTTATGAAGAAACGACGTTCTTTCCAAGGTTATCTCTCTTAGTTGCTCCAGATTGAGGATTTTGAAGGAAAATCGCAAATGAACAAGTAGGATTTAGAAAGGAGGTGTAGGTACTTAAGACTGAAGATTCGGCCTGGAGCCATTTACCTTGTAACCCCCAAAGAAAGTGATAAAATGAACACGAACTCTGAATATTCCTTGGGCGTGGGGCGGATTCAAAAGGTCCCAATCTAAGACCTTCATCGATACCTCTGCGAGAGAGTAAAGAAAGGCCAGATTCACACAGTGCGCTTTCAGGACCGCTGTGGGTTGGGCCCATGATGCTATGCCCAAAACCGTCATGGGCCCAACCGCGCCCTCAAGGAAAGTGGGACAGGGCAACGCCGGAAGTGCCTGCTTTTACCTCCAAAGGGCACTTTGGCTTCCTAATTTCTGAGACCCTGCACTCCAGGAGCTCGAGGGCAAGGGGTGGACATGCCAGACGAGGTCGCTGCTAGAGCCCGCTCACGAGGGTCCCCAGGGCCAACCTCTAGCTGGAGCGCGCAGGTTCCGGCTCGGCTTAGCGCCAGTGCCAAGCATGCTCTTCGCCACTCTTCTGGTCCACTGCTCCCGCCTCAATTCTCCTCCTGCTCCAGGCCAGAGTCTCCACGCTTGATTCCCCCCGCCTCACCCATGGCCTTTGCGCATACACAAACCCCAATCCGGGGCGCGCAGCCAAGGGCCACCAGAAAGGGCTCTGGTGGGAGCCTCGGTTGGGCAGGGCGGAGGCGGCTGCGCTCCCTTGGGGCGATTCCTGCTGGTCACAGCCTCTGGGTTTACCATAGTCTGACCCCTACCGCCGCGCCCCGCTGGGGTGCAGGAACCAAGGAAGAAGTCCCTACCGAGCTTCCCTGGGGGCTGAGAGAGACTCAGAAATTGATTTGGTTTGGCCAAAAGCGTTTAGGAGGGGTGGGAGGGTCGAAGAGGGCTGCGGCCAGGCTGCTGACGGCGACCCAGCTCAGTATCCCAGAGAGCAGGGAAGGTCGGACCCGCGGTTTGTGTGTGAACGCTGCCAGCAGCTGCCTGCAGTCCCGCGCTTGACCGCTTCCACCCTGCCGGCAAAGCTAGACCCTTCCCCAGGCGGAGGACCTACTTAGAAAGCAAAAGGGTCCTTGGAGCTGGGGTTGCTCAGGGGCGGGCTGGGGCGTGAGCAGGACTGAGCCCTTTCTTGCTCTTCCGTCCCGTGCAAAGTGGCTTATGATAAGCTACGGTCAGCGCGCTGCTGTGATAAAGTGTGTGGAAGCCGGGTGGTGCAGTAATTATCCTGTCTGCCTGAAAAAAAAAAAAAAAAATCGGTGAAACATAGAGAAAAATGTTTTCTAAAAAGCGTATTTTTACCATAAAGAAAAACAAGTCTTTTACCACCATAGAACTAGCACACGTTATTCGCACAGTCCTCGAAGATGAGCTCAGGTTGACTGCTCCAAAGCCCCACGGCCCGAGACAGATGGGAGAGAGAAGCCTCGGCTCGGCGGAGGTCATCCTCCGGCTGAGTCTTGGGCCCTGGGTCCCAGGGACCGCGTGCAAGGCGGAATTTCAAGGGGAGCTAGATCTACCCCCCTCATGCTCCAGGTCCCCG